CCTTCATTTCTCCTCCCTTCCTTTCCCATCTCCTCCCCTTCCTTTCCTTTACCCATTTTTATCCAAACATAGGCTTAGTTCTAAGAAAGAGCGTAATTAGTTGAAAAGCACCCAAGTTTATAGAATCCTAACTTTTAAGTCCCTATTTTTATCCGAACATAGGCTTAGTTCTAAGAAAGAGCGTAATTAGTTGAAAAGCACCCAAGTTTATAGAATCCTAACTTTTAAGTCCCTATTTTTAAAAAACACTATTTAAGTCCTTAAAATCAAACAAGGTTATCTTAATTTAGAGCATTAGGATTTAGAGTTTTTAGGGTTTAGTGATTGTAATGTTAGGGATTAGATTATATTTTTAGGATTTAAGGTTTAAGGTGTTAGGATTTAACTCTTTTAGGGTTTATAAATTTTAAAATTTGATATTTAGAATGTTAGTCATAGCTTAGATTGTTAGGATTCAATACTTAGAGTGTTAAGATTTAGAATTTTTTTTTTTTGGATTAAATGTTTAGAGTGTTAGGATTTAGTGTTTAAGGTGATAAGATTTAAAAATTTTGAATTCTCTATTTTATGCTATTAGGATTTAAATTTTTTAAATTATATATTTTATGATATTAAGATTTCTTTTTTTTTTTGGTTTTATAGGGAATTAAAAGTTATAATATTATAAAGTTGAGTGCTTTTGAATTAGTTACACCCTTTCTTAGAGCTAAGAATCAAACAAAGGTGGCATTGCCACGTCTGCTTGGCCTTCCGTTGGCATGAAGGGCTTCTGCAGTAAAAAGCTTACTTTTAGCCCTCACCTTGTTAACTTAAAAGATTTTAACCCTTCACATTTTATATTATGTCATTTTTAGCCCCTTACTTTATTAGATTTATAAGTTTTAGCCTTTCACTTTATATTACCTCACCTTATACTATGACACTTTTAGTCACTCACTTATTAAAATTGAAGAAAATAACTTGCATTTTGTAACATTTTGTTAGTTTTGTTAACTGACTGTTAACTGACTGTTAACTTTAGTAACTGATTGTTAATTTTATTAACTGACTGTTAATTTTATTAGCTGACTGTTAGCTATTAAATACTTTTTTTCAGCTGACAAAATTAATAGAACTAATTTTATAATATTTCGTTAATTCTATTAATTGTCTATTAATTGATTGTTAGTTGATAAAAATCTACTTTCAACTGTTAGAGTTAACAGTTAGTATAAAGTGAGAGTTATTTTCTTTGATTTTAATAGGTGAGGGGTTAAAATCTACAAATTTAGTAAGATAAGAGGTTAAAATTATTATATTATAAGGTAATGAGCCAAAACCTTCAAACTCAATAAAGTGGGAGGCTAAAAATATGTTTTTGTCGGGCTTAAGCTGCCATAGCATTATTCTTTCCACCACCTTTCTAAACTTTTCTATTATAACATGGAAAAAGTATTTTATACTAAGCTGGTCCAGGTTATACAATACTTATTCTTTAAATAAAAAAAGATTTTTTGATGTTGAAGGTTTTCTTTCCATCAAAGTGTTTATATTTTACTATTTAAAATAGTTTAAATTGTGAAATAATGCACATATGTAAAATTTTTTCTCTACTAATAAAATTTGTTTAGAGATTATAACTAATAATATAACATTGCACATTCAATTAATCTTTCTCTTGTAAAAAATAAATAATTTAGTGATAATCTATTTTTATAAAAAAAAATCTTAAATTCAAGTAATATAGTATACGTGTAAGGGGAGTTACAAATATATTTGATTTGAAAAAAAAAAAAGAAAGTAAAAAGAATTTTTTTAATTAATCAAATTGTAATATTTTTAAATATTATAATTTAATTAGTCAAAAAAATCTTATTTCAATTCCCTTTAAACCAAGAATATTTTAAGAGATAGGAAAATCTCTTGCTCTACAATCTAAAATAAAATAAATTAATCATTCTTTGGAGCCAAACACTTCATAGTTGCAGAAATAATTGAATGTGGGCTCTGTAGTGCCCATTGGAAAGATCGTGGGTGAAAGGGCCTTGAGTGGACTACATATTATGTTTCACTAGACACTAGTTCAGAGGAGCATTGAGGCCCAAATGTGTTGGGCTAAAATCCCTACTCAAAAATCTCAAACTCCATTAAATAAAAACAGCTCAAATTTAAGAGGCTAAGGAATTTTCAACTCTTTCGAGAGCAAAGAATAATAAAAATTGCTAAATTTAAATATTTTCCTTCTCATTTTTCAAAAAAATTTGGTTTGGTAAAAGTAAAAAGGCAAACCTAACTGGTGTGGTGAGTGGTGACCAGTGACCACGTCTAGTCTGAATCGATTGACCCATGTAAGAACAGTTTCGGCCTGACCCACACCCTGGGCCCCAAACCAACCATCTACACCTACATATCCCTTTTTTTTGGTTGGCCATCTACCCACACGTTATTGTAGCTAAAAGTCCTTAATTTTCTTCTTGGCATTTTTTTGGGCTAATTCTTATTAGGGTTTAGATAAAAAGTAATAATAATGTAATTATTGTCATTTTTTATCTTAAAAAATAAAATTAATTTTTGTTTTAACTATAAATGCCACATGTTAGTTTTTTATTCATTTATTTTAAAATTAAAATCAAATTTTCACATTTTTTAAGAAAAAAAAAGTGACCATTATTAATTAATAATTATTTCTTATCTTATGCCTTTTAGACACAAGATAGACAAACCCTTATTTTTATTAATTATTATTATTAACATAATTGACTAAACTTCAAATCTTAAAAATTGAATACACACTAATAAGCAAATGTTGTTTAGGTTAGGTTGAAGGTTGAAGGTTGAAGTCTTGGAAGTTGGAAGAGTACCAAGTAAATTATTTTTCGTAAATACACTAAACTAATGTGGGGTGCACAATTAAGATCCATTGGTGAGAGATTAGTTTTGTGGCATGTATAAACTAAATTAAAAGCACACACAAAAAACTATATTTGTAATCCCAACTATATCACACTGAAAAACATGAATCCTAATATAAGGGTTCATCTCTCAATATTGGTGGCCTTCTCCAATTTAAAGAGTTGTTTGGTATAAGTATAACAGTTGGAAACTAGGGATATTAATATTAGAGGTTAGCGAATAACACTTAACTAGGGATATAGAAGATGTTGATTTAAAATTTTTTTTTTGTTATATAATATTCAATAGTTATTAGATTATTATCTAATGTTAAATGTTAAATAAGGATAAATTTAAAAAGTGTAGTTAATTTTGTTTTTTTATATACTTTTTAACACTAAAAGAATTATTACATTGTTGTTATTGTTGTTGTTATTATTATATATTTACAGATGAAATATTTCTTTGTCCTTTATAATAAAAATTAATTTTAAAAGTTTGAATATAACGTAAAAATTATAAACTTCTTAATTAATTTATTTATTATAATGACTTAGCCAAATTTTATTAAATAGAAAATTAGTTACAAATTAAATAAGAAAAAAATTTAAAATAAACAAGTTAACGATAAAGTGAACATTACCAAAAAAAAAAAAAAAAAAAAAGTTAAAAAAAAAGTAAAAATTAATAATTTGTGAGTAATGATAAACTTACCTCATCAGTAATAATGACATCGTATTTTATATTTAATTATTTTATAAATAAATTTATTATAATAATTTAAAATTTTTAATTTGCTAACCGATAAAATTCCAATAAGTAACAATTGAATTCTGATCACTAACCACTATTATTAAACTGTTTTTTGAAAACTTTTATAAAATACTTTTACAGTTTTTCATAAAGGTTTTGCACAAAATTATTAATTATTACTCCAAATTATTATATTAAATAATCTTAAATACCGTTATTTACCGTACAAACCGTAAATTATCGGGACTCAAACACGTAACCGTTAATTAAAAAAAACAAAGAGAAAAAACTAATCTTCATTAACCCACAAATTAATCGTGTCTCAAAACAACCTAGATTTGCCATTAATCTTTGATTAAATCCTTAAACATTCCACCTTATCATTCCCGTTTTGGACGTACTCTTCGGTGTTTGAACCCAGGAAAATCTACCTAGAATCCAAAAAAATACAAGAAAAGTTGGTTTCCTTACTCTTCTGCGGCTCTGCTCTCTTTGAAAAGTCATCTCTGGAGGTTCCAGGGATGAAATAACCACTCCTCTCCTGTAAACGTAGAAAACCCTGTACTGCTTTCTGGCGAATTGATTTGATGTTCTTAAATCATCAGGGGTTTCTCGAAATTTTACTTTTCTGACGGTAGTCGGTTTTTCGGGCTAGTAGGGGCAGGGCAGTTTCAGAACAATGAGTCATGGTCGGAGTCATGGCCCGCTCAAATCATCGGTGTTCTTCGCGTACCCAGAGAAGCTGTGTGACATTTTCGTGCCCCTCGCTCGAATCGTTCTCCTGGTCTTCATGGTCAGCTCCATCTCTATCGTCCTCTACACTGCCTTTATTCCACAGTCTCCCTTCATCCTCTTCAAACCCGTCTTGAACGTGAACACCGGCGGCGAACCCGATACGGCGCCCACCAACATCTCCCACATCCTCTTCGGCATCGGCGGCTCCGCCGCAACATGGGAGGCCCGCCGTGTTTACAGTTCCCTCTGGTGGCACCCAACAATCACGCGTGGCTTCGTCTGGCTCGACTATATTCCCCACAAAAACCAAGACCGTAACAGAACAAATATCTGGGTGCCACACCGCCTGTCTTCTCCGGATTGGACCAAGTTCAAGTTCTCGAGCTCCAAATCGGCCGTTCGGATCGCCCGAATCATCCGAGACAGTTTTAACGAGAAGTTGCCGAACGTGAGGTGGTTCGTGATGGGAGACGATGACACGGTGTATTTTACTGAGAACCTGGTTTCCGTGTTAGCCAAGTACGATCACCGTCAGATGTGGTACATAGGCGGGAACTCAGAAAGCGTGGAGCAAGACACGATGCACTCGTACGGCATGGCGTTTGGAGGCGGCGGGTTCGCCTTGAGTTACCCACTGGCGGAGAAACTGGTCAGAATTTTGGACGGCTGCATCGACAGGTACTATTACTTCTACGGCTCTGATCAAAGGATCTGGGCATGCATTAGCGAGATCGGCGTGCCACTAACCATACATCCCGGCTTCCATCAGGTAAGAAATTTACACGTGGCGGCTTAATGAATGGTAGTTCTAAGTTCATAGTCAACAAAGTTTGTTACAGTATTACCACGCCATGATTACCCGACAACCTTTGAACAGTACTAGCTTTTTACCTCTTTAACGGGTGGCTGCTACGCTAGGTCTTTACCATGGCATACAGGACAGGTCTTTTGTTTTTCCCTCCGATGGAAGACCCTAGTAAGGTGATTGGAATATATGAGCAATGCTAGGGGCACGCGCCTCCTGCACTCTCCGGCCAACACTTTCCCTTTTATTGGGCCACGTTGTTTTGGTTCCGAAGAGGTTGCGCTGAAAGGTATAGGGAAGCTTACGTGGCCCAATGAAAGGGAAAGTGTTGGCCGGAGAGTGCAAAAAAGCGAGTGCCCGTAGCACTGCTCTGGAATATATAATTTCAACACTTCTATGGGGGGTTTTAGTGGGGTGAGTCTAGTAAGTAGGTCCGCTGACTGAGAAGTCATCGTGGCCATTCTCATCTTATCTTAGGTTGTGTGTGCGGGATGGAGTCCCACTCTTTTATTAAAAATAAAAAATAAAAAATAGGTCCGGTGATTGAGACATGATCACGATGGCAAATTACAGCTGAGGTTTATTCATGAATGGGGTTAAGGTGTCTGAAACTGAAAGTGAAAGCTGACCATATTACTGGGCCAACCGCCATTGCCACACTTTGGATCTTGTTTGATGGGTATGGTTTCTTAGAGAAAATACAGCGCTGTTGAGTCTCAACAGCTGTTTTTGATGGCAGGAGCGGTCTGAAACGTGACTTTATGTACCATGTAGTGTCCAAAAGTGTCCTTCATCGGAACACGATTAAACAAAGAAACCGTAGGGCTGGGACAACATTAATTAATCTACAGTACAACTGTTCAAAAAATAATAATCTACAGTACAATTGCAATGCATGTGGTGGGATTCATATATGCGGCAACCTATAGGAGTTTTTAGATGTTGATAAAGATAGAATTAACTGCTGCATGTTAGCTAGTACAGTAGATGTCACAAGAATTATGGAAATTTGGAGGGTATTCAGCTAAATTTAAAAAGTAGTTATTTAAAAAGGAAATTGTTCTTTCAAATTTAAATATTAAAAACTGACTTTTAAAGATTTTTTAAATAAATTTAGATAAATTTCTAAATTTACTTAAAATTACTTTTAAAAGTTAAATTTTATTTTTTCTAAATAAGTTATTTTTAGGTTTCGTGAATAACTGCTCTTTTGAGAGAGACAAAAAAAAAAAAAGAAAAAAAGGGAAAAGAAGAGGAAGAAGAAGAGAGAAACAATGTAATAGGCACCGTTAATGCCATATCTTTTTAGCCATCTGTCCTGATTCCTGAGTGTAAAGTGGGGGTCCGTTCTCACAGGATTCTGTTCTTTTGTTATGCTATCAACACGCTACTGTGAGGTTGTGGTTTTTTATTCCTTTGTTTGGTTAAAGAATATGTATGCGTAGGGCAGGTTGAGTGAGAAATTCTTTTTCTAGACCCTCTCTTTTCTTAAATAAAATGGTTAACGTTGTCTATTAGCAGAATCCAGATTTTAATTTAAAAAATGAAAAACCGTTATCATATTAATAGTTTAAAAAATTATGAAAAATTATAATATCTTAATAATTAAAATATAAAAAAATATAATAATAAAATTTAGATACTCTTAATAAATAAATAAATAAAGAGTCAGAAAACACTTATTAAAGATATATAAATAATTTTTTAAGTAGTTATAATATTTAAAATATCATAACATTTTACTTCTTTCTTTCTTTCTTTTTTTTTTTGTAGTTCACTTGAGGTATGAGAACTTTATTTTATAATTCAAATTGTACTAAATTATAAAATTAAATAGAAAACAATCCTTAGTATCAAACTTATCTAATGATTAATGTAATGCAATTAGAATTACATTACTATTTTTTTTGAAATATTAAGCTATATTACTTTTGTTAATTTTGACTTATAGTGGTTGACTTTATGCAAATATGTTTTTCTTAATTAGGAAAATAATTTTTTTCGTTTTTATTTTATGATTTTCAGTTTGACATTAGGGGGAACCCATATGGGATCCTAGCTGGGCACCCGGTGGCTCCATTGGTCTCGCTCCACCACCTGGATATTGTGGATCAAATTTTGCCCAACAGGACCCAAATGGACGCCTTGAAGACCCTGATAGAAGCATACCGGGCAGATCCGCACCGGATCCTGCAGCAGAGTTTCGCCTATGATATCAAGCGGAAATGGTCGGTTCTCGTTGCTTGGGGCTACACCATCCAGATATACCCTTTGCTGCTGACACCGTTCGACCTGCAGACACCGCTACAGACGTTCACGACATGGAGGAGTTGGGGAAATGGCCCTTTCACCTTCAACACCCGACCCTGGCCCCCAGACCCATGTAAACAACCGGTTTTATATTTCCTGGACCGAGTCGATGAGGTGGGCATGGCTGGGACCCGGACCAGTTACAAGATGGCCCAAACAGAACACAAGTGTAACAGCACAGAGCATGCCAATGTAATGGCAGTGACGCAAATAACAGTCTCTTCCCTGAAAATGCCTCCAGATTACTGGAAAAAGGTGAGTTAACCTGGATCAAATCAAGTAATCTCGTTTCCTATGTTCTGGAAAAGGAACTGATGATCATGACGGTTTTGTGTATGCAGGCACCACAAAGGCAGTGCTGTGAGATCTTGGATCATGGAAAGATAAAGGATGGCAGTCTGCGGATTAGAGTTAGGAAATGCAGAAAATGGGAGAGTATTTCTTTCTAGAGATAGGCAGACAGGCTACGTATACATAGAAGCAAAAATATCATTAACGAGGATAAACAAATATTAATAATGTCTAGTTTTTTTCCTGGCATAATTTTCGCAAGCAAGAACAAGAGAAAAAGAAACTTTTAGAAAAGGTTCACTCTTTTCCTTTTAATCATGCAGAAGTTGAAAAGCAGACATATGTAATTATGCAATAGAATCGTATGACAGTGCTCTAACTGCAGCACTGCCACAAGAGAAGTTGAAAAGGAGGCATGTAATAGAATCGTATGATAGTGCTTTAACTGCAGCACTGGCAAAGGAGATTGCATGGCTCAAATTCAAATACCTTTATCTAGAAAAGTAATTAATCAAGGGTGAGTGGAAAGTGCCATTCACCGTGTGGCCCCAATGGCCATGCTTCTCCTTGAAAAGCAAAGTGATGGCATCCCTTGGAGATACGATGTTCGAGTCCCAGGATTAACAATTCCCCTCTTCTTAAGAACAAATACTAAAATTATTAGTGTAATTATTGCTTTCCCCAAAAAAAGAAAAAAAATGCAAAAACCAAAGGTTAGCGAAAAGTAAGTCCCTTGCTCTTTACAAAGTATTTTTTCCCAGGTGGGATCGAATAGTTTGAAATGTCAATGTGGATGACCTTAGGCAGCTCCACTCTTGACGAGGATGCTGAAAGATGCTGGGAATTCGGATGTGAAACCTAGAAAAAGCATGACAAGTGGTTCACCTAGAAACCACTAAAAACCCACAAAACAAAATGGTTACACCATGTTCCATGTTGGAAAGGTTTGTTTTTTGAAATAAATGTAACTACACAATTAATAAAGGTTAATGGAGCTCTTTCCATTTTGTGAATTTGCTCTAGAAAGATAAAAGCTACATTTAAACACACAGGTAGCTCTGCAAAATATGCTGAACTAAGATAGCCCCTCCATCTATTATTATTAGAATACAATAGGAGACTTTGTAGTGGTAATTTTCATAAAAATGCAGGGAAATAAAACCTTCATGGAACAAGAATTTAGGATGATATAATAAGTTCAATTCATCTGAAATCTGATCATGGACATTAAAAAAAGGAGATTACCACATTTCATTTGCTTAAAATTAAACGTACCAACCTCAAGAGACAAAAACTGCAACAGTGTCATAACTCTTGGATCAACAACAATTTCATAATTGTGAACATACTAATTGCAGAGTAATGTGTCCCTTGTTGCATTTCCAGTAGTTGGATTTACCCTGATATATTCATATTATAGATAAGGTTTGTTTAGTAGATAAAGGAACACACATCGCATAACAAAAATATAGTGAGGAGTGTCATACCCATCTGCAACTTTGCAAAGGTATTCACGTTGATCATCTCTCAAAGGCACATCTGTGAAGTCTAATCATATGAAAAGGCCAAATCAGCTAAAATTTGAACTAATAACCTAATAATGACATGGGCACATAATCAGTCAAAACCAAACAGATGGGAAATTTTCCAGGACAACTATCTACTGGTCTGCAAATTTCAACTGAATGCATGCTAACTTTGCATGTAGAACCATAGATGGGGTTATGATTATGGACCGGATGAAGCATGACTAAAATTAAGTCAAGCAAATCATGTTTCACAGAAACAATAAGCAATAGATGAAATTTATAAGATTGCATCACAAGCATCATTACCCACAAAAACAGTGGTGCATAGCTAATTAAAACTGCAGTTAATTTGGTTTCTACTGTACATACCAGCTCCTGTAATATTTGATCCTCTGAAAGATGTGTTGCCTGTAGCAAGTGCACCTTCTAAGTTAGCATTGGCCAGATTTGCCTGCAAAAGGTAAGATTTCAATGAATCAAAAGAAATTGCCTAATAGAACAAAACCATGTCTCTCTGATAACAGATATGGCTTAAAGACACTGTACAAGAATGAAATACACATTAGATAAAGAATTACCTTTGTTACATTTGCCAAGGAAAAATCTGCACCTCTCAGATCGGAATCAGAAAGATCAGCCCCTGAATAATCACTATATGTTATTCTTTAAGACATCAGAAGGAAATTGTATTTCCAATTCAACAACTAGTTAAAAGAACTGAATAAACTCCAACTAAGTTAGACCCAATTATGCAAAAAAATTACCACTGACCAATTTTCGCTCAACATGAAACCTGATTTTCTAGTGCACTAGACCAAGATAAGGAACTCTTCACTCTTTTTAGTAGAAAAAAGGTCAGCATTCAGATATGGCCAATGCTATCCTCTACTATAATCAAATCATTCTGATAATAGCAGAATGTCTGTGCACACTCTTGATGGAAATGGTGAGGAGGGGAAAAAGTGGAGCCTTCTAAGTGGGCTCAAGCAAAGGAGACTTAACAGCATGTCATCCTAATAAATGCTTTAACATGCCTTGAGAATTATCTGTCTACTAATACAAACGATCACCCATTAATCGAGCAGAGCCCTGCCATTGAAACTTTATATATAAGCAATCTTTTAAGAAAAATGTTGCAATAAAGTTCTTCTAACAGGAGGTTTGACGCATGCCATAGATTTTCTAAATCTGCTGAAAATATGCTCCAGGAAAAGCATAATACAGTAGTTGGAGAAACCTGTTAAATCAGCATCAAAAAAGCTAGCACCAATCAGCTGTGCACCTTTGAAATTTGCTTGTCGTAATATGGACTGAAGCACAGAACAGGTAATGGTTAAGATTACGAGCTTAAAGCATTAATATTAACCAAACACTCAAAATTTAAAATGCACATAACCACATTGATAAAGAAATGTGCACCACATACCGTCTTAAAATCTTGCTTTATCAAGGTCCTGCCACTAAAATCTTTCCCAGTCAGATCCTGTCCTCTTGTCACCTCAGCTCCATAAGGACCCCCTCCCTTTTGCAATGCACTTTGACAATTAAATCAATAGAACAAAAAGGCCAATTCAACATGAATAGTTTTCCAAATTTACTGTGTAATTTTGTTCTGAATCCTTCTAATGGCAAAAGTTTCCACCTTTCTCAAGATACTATTCATTTATATGTACATTGACCCAAAAATTCTAGAATTCAGTTTTTTTCTTCAGTTCTAACTACTATTTCCCAGCAACCAAACAAAGAAATTAATTTTAACATTTACCTTGAAAGCCAAAGCAGGATCAACCAAGAACAATGAAGCAGAGAGGATAGCTAGCAAGCTAGCTCTAGAAGCCGTTTCTCCCAGTGAAAGACAAGATTCTTCAAACTTTTCCTTAAGAACCTGTAACCACAAACGTGAGTGGGCTAAAGCAAAAATAAGAAAGACGAAACACAGAATGTGGGAGGTAAAGCAGCGTACTTGCGGCGTCGAGAAGCGGGAGAGGGAGATAGAGAGGGGCTGTCGTTTGGATGACGAGACAAGGTGCCTGCTCTTTTGTGGGAATTTAGAAGAGAATGAAGCGTTAGGAAGAAGAGCCATCTGTTTCCAGAATTGGTTGTCGTTGTGATGGTACCGATCCGTGCCGCTGCTTGATAATTATGGATATGGATAACGGTTCATCCATGTTCTCCACCCGGAATTTTCTGGCTTTGAGCTGCTGAGACAATGATTGAGGTCTAAAGTCTGAACCCATTCACTGCTCCTTTGATGAGGCCCAAATGCCTTGGAAAAATGGGCTTCCACCCACAATCTAGTACAGACTGGTCTCTTTATAGCATGAAAACCATCATCCAACCCCAATAATTGGATTGATCAGGAAGTTTCAGTGTAGGTTTTTTTTTTGTTTTTCTTTTTTTATGTTGATGGCACAATATGAAACAATTTTCTCTTATCTCTTATCTTATATCATTTTACTCGCATATCATACGATTAGAATTCAAAAGTCGTTAATCAATATTGTTTTTTAAAATTTAGTTTAGACATTAATTCTTTTTAAACATACCAAACTAATATAAGGAATGTACTTTAAAATCATTTAAAAAATAATTAATCAAAACTAGTATGCAAAGCAAGGACAACCTACCTAATAATAATAATAATAATAATGATGATGATGATGATGACAATAATAATCTCTTACCTCCCAGTCCGAACAAGTGTTTTCATTCATTGAAGACAGTAAATAAACTAGTCCAACATGAAGGTAAATCCTAAAAATTATTTTTAAAAAAATTAGTTTTGAGATGTGTAATGTCATCCGAGTACATTCTAAGAGTTCAAACCGGAAGCTCTTTCAATCATTTTTTTTGCTGTCTTTCAAGTTCCTATTTTCAATTTGTCTTAATAAAATTACCCATTTTTTCCCCATTGCAACTCTGTTCTAGTTGACATCATGATTTGAATGCAAGAGTGTCGTTTTAAAGACAAATGGTATTGGATTATCCAAATTACAAATTCCATATATGAAATTGGGGCTTAGTCGGCAGTGTTTGGTATTGCCGTATTGGTAACCTAAAAGAGACCGAGGGTCCGATTTGACAAAACTTAAAAGGCAAATTTGCTTTTTAACCAAATTTTTACCTCACTATAAATTTAAAATTTTGTTTAAAAAAAAGCTTGAAAATTGACTTTAAATAAATATTGTAAAAGTTAAAAAGTGTATAACTTTCCTAAAATTTACTTAAGAATAATTTTAAAAATTAATTTTTGAATTTTTAAAAAATTTATATAAAAATAATAAAAAATTACTTAAGAAGCAAGTTTAATTTTAAGACATAAGCCCATGATAAGCCGTCCCTGAATGATTGCAATTTGCAAAAGGTAAAACGGAAAGGAGAATGGATAGATGCATGTGCACCGAAAATGTGCTGAGGGAAAGGCCACAGGGCAGACAGCACAGGATCTCTAGTAAAGCCTAGTCAATGGTTGACTGTAGAAGAGGTCATGTTTAGCATTAGATACCTTGTCGGGACTCGGGGACACCGATGCATTTCCTCATGCGCACGTTACCCCACACCCTTCTGGATTTCGACACATTTCGTCTTCCATTTCTCCATTTTCCACCACCAACTCTCAAGAAACACAGCCCTCTCTCCCCCTCTTGCATCCTTCGCATGCATCCTTTCCCATCCTATCCCCAACTATTTTCCAATCATCACTCGACACCTGCATCCCCGAAGGCAAATCGGGTAATTTCATAATAAGTTTATTAGTGGGGTCTATATAAGGGGAACAGGTTTTGGGTGTAGGTTATAAAGACCCACCCAAAACTTGTTCACACCGACTCCGAGAAAGGGTAAACCGGAGAGACAAACAAAAACAGGATTCTGCAAAACCGCCTGTGGAGTGCGGACACAGGTAATTATAGAAATCCTTAATTGCAGTATGCCGGAGGAACCGTCAAGTGCTCTAGTCACCCACGACATCCATAAGTGGTGAAGTTGAAGTTGCAGCACAGAGAAAACTGAAGCAGAGATTACAGCCGCCCCCGTGTTGATTCTCTAGAGGTACAAAGTACAAAAGTTGCCTTCTTTAATCAATCTCAATCTCGTAACTTTCGGCACCGAGAAGGCCCTCAAAGCGGACTCTTTTCATTTCATCAAAGATCTAGTCTTTCTGGGTTTTCTTCTTTTATTATGATTATAAGTTTGGTTTTGGGTTTCAGCCTTTCAGGGTTTTTGCAATTTGGAGGTTAATGGCTAGGGTTTTCCATGCAAAACAAGAGGCACTCATATCTCTGATGTCCGATTCATGCAACGGTTTTTGGTGGGGATAAGGTTCTGGATTGATTCGACTGGATTTGAGGTTGTACATCAGAGATTTTCCAATCGCAATCTACTACTTACAGCTGAAAAACAAAGAGGAGAAAATAACCTCTAAAGGTTTCATCTTGTTAGAGTTTTGTCATTATCTCCGAATCAGCAGCTTTTTTTTTTTGGTTTTCAAGATTAATCCTTTGGTTTTGATTGAAGAAACCAAACATGGCAAATCGGTGGTGGGCTGGAAATGTTGCAATGAGAGGTATAGACTCAATAGTTTCAGCTTCAGCTCCATCTCTTCACCTTAGAAATCCGGAGGAAGAACGCACGGCCTTGAACTGTCTTGGGTCAAGAAAAGAACAGGAATTTATGGATAATAACAACGGTAACACCGGCGGGGACAGCGATAGCCCGAATACTACTACTCCGAACCAAAACCAGAGCCAAGATGATGAAGATAATAACAACAATCTGGAATCGGAAGAGCAGAATACTGCCCTGGAGACTATCGAGGTGGGCTCCGGTTCGTCCTCTCGCAGGCCCAGGGGCCGGCCTCCGGGTTCAAAAAACAAACCGAAAGCCCCGATCGTCATCACCAAGGAAAGCCCTAATTGTCTACGAAGTCACGTGTTGGAAATCAAAAGCGGCAGCGATATCGCCGAGTGCATCGCCAATTTCGCTCAGCGTCGCCATTGCGGTGTGTCTGTTCTCAGTGGTAGCGGCATTGTTACCAATGTTTCACTCCGCCAGCCAGCGGCGCCCGGTGGAATAGTTACTCTTCATGGAAGATTTGAGATTTTGTCGTTATCCGGCGCGTTTTTGCCCGCTCCATCGCCTCCTGGTGCAACGGGGCTGACGGTCTACTTGGCTGGCGGGCAGGGGCAGGTGGTGGGGGGTAGCGTATTGGGCGCGCTGGTGGCGTCAGGGCCTGTGATGGTGATTGCAGCAACTTTTTCAAATGCCACTTATGAGAGGTTGCCGATAGAGGATGATAATGGGGGCGGTGATGACAACGGTGGAGGAGAAGGGCAGCAGCAAGGTAGTAATAGTGGCGGTGGTGGTAATTCAGGAGGTCAGCCTCAGAGTTTGGGACATGAACAAGGCTGCTCAATGCCACTGTATAACTTGGCTCCTAATTTTCTGCCTAATGGACAAATGCCTCATGATGTGTTTTGGGGTCCTCCGCTTCGTCCTCCTTCATCTTACTAATTTCTGTCTTCAAACATGGTTTGGCTCTTCTCCTCACTGGCTTAATTTGTTCAAAAATTTCGGATGCTTGATGTTCATGTATAAGTTTATTAGGGAGGAAACTAGGGCTTTTTGGTTGCAAACTTTCTTCGTTTTTGTGAATCTGATCCAGAATTGGCTTCGGCTTTGTTACATGTTTTTGGAACTAGCTTGTTGTCTAATATATGTAGAATTTGGTATAATTGAATGCCTTTTTTTATTCTCCCTAATAAACATTTTTTACCAGATCCTTGTATCTTTTATTAGTGATATATGGTAGGAAATAAAGAAAACTTGAGTCAATATTGTGGTGCAACTTATGCCTAAATTCATGTTTTAGAACTTTAGAGGATATATATTTTGTTTTTTTCGCAATCTAATCCATCGACTTTCTGTAGAATTGCATCTTTGATATTGATGTAGAAATGGAAAAACAGCGGAGAAATGAGTTTTCCGCCAAAAAAATGTTATGTATCTCCAGGGATTGGAGCTTCTCTTTCATGGTATGGCTAACCAAAACTCACATATCTCTCTTCTTTAATTTTTAAGATAAGTTTGTTTTGAATTTTCTTTGAAAGATTGTAGCATTTAAGAGAGTTAGATTTCTTTTATTATCTGATAGAGACAAAGAGAGATGAATTTCGGTGGGGTTGATTCATCTGTATTTCTCCAGAATATGTTGTTTCATATCCAAATTGAATCATTCTCATAATTATGTCATGCTTTGATTGGGTCAGCCATCCCATTGCAAGTTGATTTGGATATTTTCAACATGTGGGGGCTGAGCGTTTGTTGCGGTAATTTGAAATAGGAGGGTGGGGGGGCATTTCTTAGGGATGGCAGCAAATTGACACCTTGGTTGCCTAAAAGCTGCTAGACCACTTTAGAATTTCTATGGAACTGAAAATATACTAGCAAGAAAATAAAAACGTGCACGATGCATATAGCTAAGACAAAGTATGCCGCGTTTTACTAATTAATCCTTTTGAGTTTTTACCCATTGTTTTTGTAATCAACCTTAGGGAACTAATTAATATGTGCTTTGATGCCATCCTTACACTTTTGATATCATAATATTTATATTTCTCAATTTGTCTATATTATCATGTATATGAAATCATAGATAATAAAGATTTGTTTTTGATGAAGAAGCTGTATATATAGATGCAATATGTATTCATTTTATTGTTAAATAGCTGTTTCAGCTTGAGGATTAATCTACTTCTAGGTCATGAGTATTTAACAAATCAAAATAGTTAAGGATAAATTAAGTTTATCTGGTAGTTCTAAACCGCTAATTAATAGAAAATTTTGTTTTCCTCATTGTTATTTGGAAGAGTTATATATACCAGATTTCTTTGTAGGATGTGATGAGATAATTCATGAGTAAATGATTCAGTTTCTACAATTCGAGCTAGTATATATCCTGATTTCTCTTTTGTTTTGTTGACTGCATCAACATAGAGTGTGCACTTGTTATTAGCTGATTTTGCAATGCGCGTAGGACCATTTACCCTATTTTCTGCGACACCTCTCATTAATTCTCTTGTTGACCAAGTAATGCAAAGTTATGAAAGATGAACAAACTATGGAAAATAGAAACCACCAAGAAGAGGGATTGATGTACATGATGAGTACATACATATATGATAGATATGAATTATACAATAGAAAGTAGCCTCCTTTTTTTTTCCCCCAAAACACATTCTCACTCATTTCGCGGTTCAAATATATGAAACCTATAACTGTTGGGACATCAGCAACACTCAAACTATTAATTATTGATGCCTAGCACTGTTTGCTCAATTAGGTGGACAGGTCTCTGAATGTGGATTTGAGGTCATTTTCTTGTATTTAAACATCCTTTTAGTCAAAAGGTTAGTTGATGCTTGGACAAGCTTGAGGTATTGGTTGTTGAAAAAAAATATAAATGTATATATATATATATTGATTGACAAGTTTAGTTATCGTCTTAAATTTAATTTCTCATCCAACTTTCAATCATTATCACTCCATATGTCAACCTTAGTTTTGCAACTTGTATTCCTGTTAATTGAACAATATAGGTGTGCGCTGGCTCTTATATTGTTTTTTCTAAACATGCCTTTGTGTGTTAACTTGTGTAACTGGTAAACCATTGTTAGGAGGCATGGTTGTTGATGGGGCATGGATTCTACAATTTTTATATCCTAATGAGTTTGATTTATGACATACTAGTTAATCATGTATTAGAATTCAGAACTGCCGGCATACCCCTAAGTTTCTCCATGTTCAAATGGCAGATTTTATGCATTATTGCATGATTGCTTCAGTTTGAAGAAAATTTAGCATTATTTGCTTTGACAATCGGGTGGCTTGATTGCATTAAGTTAGAGTGTGCCAAGCTCATACGCAAAAAGGGTGAGTCCTGAAAACACTTACTAGACCAGAGTTCAACCTAAGGAGGGATAGAGTATCAAAATTTGTGACTTCAATTCCTAAACAAAGAAAATAATCTATTGGAAAGAAAAATATGAGGAACGCAGCACCTATGAATGTCTCCACCACTTCTTCCCTATGATACCCATAATCAAAGGTCTGGAATATCATACCATGAAAAGAAAAATGTAAAGAGAAACAAATTTTACGTTTCTGAGATTAAGCACTAGTAATTTTAGCAACAGATACAAAAAGCCGAAGAATAAGTACAGAGAATCCATCAATAAGCTAGAGGCTGGTTCGTTGGCAAAAATAGAAAAAAAGAAAAAAAAGAAAAAAAAAAAAGGCTAGAGGCTGAATCTGGACCGACGCGTAAGTGGTCGTATCTAACTAATTATTACTTGGGCCAGCTAAAACCCTAAAATTTCGGGACCGGAGCCCAAAAGTCTAATAAGTAAATAGAGGTTGTGTTTAGGATTGTGATTGGTGTTTTTTCTGATAAGCATGCAGAGTTTTTCAATATAGGTTTGAAAATTTTTTTTTAATTATATTTTTTAAATGATAAAAAATCACAATTATATATATAATTAAAAATTTT